GCTTGCGCCTGTTGCCCGTTGCATCTGTACACTGAAGTGGGGGTTTCTTTTGCAGGCCTCGGCTAGACGATGCCGGGCCTCCCCCCTGGGGCTAGCCTCCAGCCTCTACAGATGCAACACGGAAAACGAGTGCTAGGTCATGTGCTAGAGCAGTGCAAGCCTATCTGAACGTCATGGCTTCCATCTGGGAGCCGTTTTGTCCTTTGGGCAATGCTGCCGGACTCTGCCTCGTCGCCCTCAGCATATCGGGTGTAGATTCATTGACATGCGCCTTGTTCAGTGGAGTCTTCATTCAGGCTTGAAGCCGGAGCATGGCTTGCCCCGGCGAGCTTCCTGAAAAAGGCGGGAAGCGTCGCAGTCATCGGTTTTGTAGGCCGATTGCAAGTGGCAGTGCGGCAGCGCAACTAAATGGGGAGCACGAAGCGACAGCCTGCCTTCAGCTGTAAGATTTACACTTGCTGCATTGCCATACTACATTGCTGGTTCGCCATAAGATTTGTAGACGTGTTCGGTGCCAGGAGAGGGCTCCGATGCCATGGGCATGCCTCCGTTTTTGACTTGAGTCCTTCCTGTGAAGCTGCAGAGCATGGAAAAGAGATGTGGGCCAGGCGAAATCGCTGTGTGTGGTCTCCTCTTGTGGTTCAGCGCGAGCCATGTCTGGTTCTTGTGATGGTTCAAGCCGTTTTTCAAGAATCGGTGCTGTGATTCCCGGCCAAACACAAGGGAACCTTCCTTGCTAATCTCAGTACAGCCTTGTGCTCACATATTTTCCATGTGAACAAGGATGTAAAATATGCAGAGTGTCGCCTGACGGTGCCTAAAGGCGTAAAGACAGGAGCTTGGCTTGGCATTTGCCAGTTACCATACCATGTCCGGCCTTTGGCTCGGGTTTGGCTTCGTAATCTGCGCGTCAGCAACATACTCCGTGCGACAGTTGTTCTCTGGAGGAAGGGCGCAGGCGTACTGCGCAATCTTGGATGACTCCTCATTGAAGTGCTGGGGACACAACTCCCAACAACAGCTCGGCACGTGGGGTAGCCCAGGAGCCTCCGAGAACACAATGGGTGATTTCTTGCCAGTCATTGATGTGGGTGCAGGTCGGACGGTTCAATCTGGTTCACTGAGCAGCGACAACCTCTGCGTCGTGCTTGACAATGGTGAGGCCAAGTGCTGGGGAGAGAATAATGAAGGTTACTCGGGGACGCCTAGCCTCAAAAAAAACACACGCCTCGCTGCCGGAAGGGATGATATCCCTGCCATTGATCTCGGAAGCGGGCGGACAGCGCAACAGGTGGCTGCAGGATCGAAAGTTGCTTGTGCTTTGCTGGACAATGGCGGCGTGAAATGCTGGGGATACAGCAACTACGGTCAAATGGGGTATGCGGACAGAGTCCGACAGGCAGGATGGAGCGAGAATAGCATGGGAGATTATCTGCCTGAAGTGGATCTGGGAACTGACCGCACGGCCAAGAAGATAATTCAAAATTCATTCAATGCCTTTTGTACCATTTTGGACGATGACAGCCTGAAGTGTTGGGGGAGGCACACAGGCACCCTGGGGCAAGATAACTCGGCATCGATCAATGATCCCAGCAACGTGGACCCCATCAACCTTGGTGAATCCAGGACGGTGTTGGACGTAGCTGCTTCAGAATACATCATCTGTGCCCTCCTAGATGATGGTACCGTCAGGTGTTGGGGAGCTGGTACTGATGGGGGTTTGGGTTCCGGAGATACGGTAAACCGTGGGAGCGAAAGCTCAAAGCCGGTCCTCAGTGCTCCCTTAGTAGACCTGGGAACGGGCCGAACTGCAAAGCAGATTGCAGTGGGCCTTCACTTTGGCTGTGCGCTTTTGGACAACGACTCCGTGAAATGCTGGGGTCGCAACACGCAGGGCCAGCTGGGCCAAGGAGACACAGAGCATCGTGGAGATGCGCCAGATGAGCTGGGGGACAAGCTGCCGCCTGTTGACGTGGGTACGGGGAAGACAGTCAAACAAATCGTGGCAATGCGGGATGGCTGTTGTGCCCTCCTCAACGACGACACAGTGAAGTGTTGGGGGCAATACCATGGCCAGGGGCATTCTGATTTTGTGGGAGATGAACCTGGAGAGATGGGGGACTCTCTTCCTGCTGTGCAGTTTGGCACCAAACCTACAACCACGACCACTGAGAGCCTCACCGCCACGTCAACAACCAGCGGTACCAGTACAGCTACATGGACATCGACGACAAGCCGCTCGTCCAGCAGCACCAGCTCTACGAGGACGGGCACCAGCAGCTCCACTTCCAGCAGCGGCACGACGAGCAGCACCAAGAGCGGCACCGACACCAGCACGTCAACAACCAGCAGTGCATCCAGCAGTAGCACAAGCAGCTCCCTGACACGAACAACGAGTACTACGTCCAGTGCTAGCACCTCAACGACGAGCAGCACATCAACGTCGGCCAGCAGTTCCAGCAGCGTCAGCACCAGTACCTCAACGACAAGCAGCACATCAACGTCGGCCAGCAGTTCCAGCAGCATCAGCACCAGTACCTCAACGACAAGTGTTACATCGACGTCTAGCAGCAGTTCCAGCAGCGGCAGCACCAGCACCTCAACGACGAGCAGCACGTCGACATCTGGGAGTAGCTCCAGCAGCAGCTCGACGACAGAGACCAGCACCAGTAGCAGTACAACGGCATCGAGCGTGACAACATCATCCTCCGTAACCAGCACTTCCTGGACTAGCAGCTCTACTTCCAGCACTTCCAGGACCAGCAGCTCCACATCTAGCATGTCCTTGACTGGCAGCTCCACGTCCAGCACGTCCACCACCAGCACAAGCAGTAGCATGTCAAGCACAAGCCGCAGTACCAGCACCACCAGCACTGCCAGCAGCAGCACCACGGGCTCCCACACATCCACAACCGTGTCGCGCAGTAGCACCACACGGACTCCAGGCACCCCAGCAGAGGCAGCGAGACAAAAGCAAGAGGAGCAAAGGAAGGAGCAAGCTGCAGCAGCAGCAGCGTCCGTGGAGGCGGCTGAGCAGGAAAGTGTGCAACAGCTTCTGAGCACCCTCAATTTCGACTCTCCTGGGAATAGCACCGAAACCGGCGGCGTGTTGGGGCAGGTGTCCATGTCGACCGAGACAGGCACGCTGAAGGTGGCGGCCCTGTCACCGGAGGCAGTGGAGGCCGCCGGAGGAAGTGTCGCGGTTTCTGCTGGCGAGACAGGTGCAAAGGTGGAGATGCCGGCGGCAATCCTGTCCCAAGCAGCTGAGCTCTTCGAGAAATCAGGTGTCTCTGGGCCAGTGATCCTGAGCCTGACTAGCATGTCAGATGAGACGGCCGAGAACTTCGCAGATCGGCAGGTCGAAGGTGAGCCTGCCGCAACTCTGCAGTCGGAGCCTTTGAGTATCAACCTCAGAGGCCCGGATGGCTCCAACTTGAAGATCGGTGAGCTGCAAACCCCCATGGAAATCGTTCTAAAGGTGAAGAGTCCCAATGCAACATGTGCCTACTGGGACGAGGACGAGAACCGATGGTCAAGCAGGGGTCTGACCGCCCTGTCCAGCAGCGGGGGTGAACTCACTTGTTTGACCACTCACCTCTCCATCTTTGCCGGAGTCTTGCAGATCATCGTCGAAAGGGCTGCTGCAGTCATTTCTTGCAGTTCCGCTTGGGAGCTCATGTCGGAGAAAGGCTTTCAGAAGCTCATGGGGTCACGCCGGAAGTGGATGGGCAGCCTGCCGTCAATTTCGACTTTCGTCTTCATAGCCTTGTTCTTGGTCATCCAGTGCCGTGCGGCCTATGTGGACCGCCGAGACAAGCAGATGGTTCCCTGGGAGGAGCTCGAGCCAATCCTCTTTCGCGAGGCTTTGCCTTCGGACGAGGAGCTGCCTCGAAGACGAGGAGCTGCCCCCGCCTGGGCGTGCTGCCGCTATTGCCTGGTTCAGCTGAAGGAGTGGTGCTGCTGGTGCACGGGCATCTGTTTTGGCGTGGAAAATATTTTGCAGCTCCTCATGGACGCAATCCCGAACGCCCCAGAAGCCAGCGTCAACCGGTGCATCAGGTCCCTCCACGCATATCGATGCGGCGTGGCTCTGGACAGCCTGGAGATTCTGCTCGCCAACGAGAAGTTCCAAGTCGAGGACAGCGTTCCGAGGCAAGTCTCGCGCACCCCGGCTCGCCGAAGCCGCTTCTCCCGTATGATGCACTCAGTGGTTCAGCACGTCAATGAATTCGCGATGGCGGTGCGTGACCTCAGTGCTCGATGGGAAGTTCACCTTCACGGGGCTAGTGCTGTGCAGTCTATCCTTCAGCGAGGGTGGTGCAGCCGTGTCTGCCTGCTCGTTCCTGCATTCCACCCATGGATCGCATTGTTGCGGTTCAGCATATTGACGCCTTATACCGTGCGAGTTGGCCTCGTCTTCTTGAAGCTCTGCACCGCAGGCGCTACCAACGCGCTCTTCTTCACAAGCACCACGCCAAGTCCCGACGATGACCCTGGTTGTCGACAGAAGCTCAGCTTCTTTGAGGCCCTGGTCCAGAATTGCGTTGTGGGTTTTCTATCCGCTTTTCTCGGCGACTGCATCATCTTCACGCTCTTCCTCGTACAGGTTCGCAGCCCCTTAGAGAAGAGGCAGTGGACAGAGGCGGCCAAGGCACGGAAGCTGGCCTGGTGGCGCTGTCGTTCCTATGTCTTCTGGTTGCTGTGGCTCGTGTACACTATCGCGTGCCTGGCATACATCATGATGTTCCTTGCGAACTCTCATCTTGAAGATGCCCACAAGTGGTACCAGAGTACTGGGATGAGCCTACTTCAGGACATGGTGCTCTTGCCGTTGGGCATGGCTGTGGCCCTGGGCACAATCGCCACGTGCGCACTTCGAAGTCAGCGCATCAGGAAGAGCATCAAGCACAAATGGTACCAACAGCCAGAGGATGGCGAGCAGAAGGAGCCCGAAGGTGAGCCGGAAGCCACGCAGCATGGGCGTCAAATCTCCATTGCTTCGTCGGCGTCAGACCAAGCAGAGCATTTCGTAGTGGATGAGGGCCATAAGTCCAGTAGGAAGGGCCAGGAGATGCTAAATGACTTCCAGGCTGTGTTGCCCGGCATGCCAGATTAGACTTTGGCTTTGATGTATGAGCGGCTGGTCTGAATTCCCACCCCCCTTTTTGCATATCAATGAGCCGGATATGAACAGCCTGCACAGCCGGGATCTGACTGCCAAGCAGTTGTAGCTCATGGTTGTTGCGGTGCATCGAATCCTTGCGCGATTCACCACGTTCACGCAGCCAAATCTAAGTTATTTGCTCGGATCAGCCCACGTGGTGCGCGCCCGTCAAGAGACAAATTCAATGTATTTCAATGCATGCACGGAGTCTACAGTCCAAGACATCCACCAGCCAGTGATTTGTATGCCTCTGGTTTTTCTTCCTGGTGGGAAGTGGGAAACACAGACTTTTTTCCGAAAGGCATGTGGGCCTAGGCCGCACGAGCAAGGTCTCTATACACTTTAATTTTTGCATCCAGCGCAAGAAATCAGAAAGGTCGTGTTGGCTTGCAGCTGCTCATGATTGCATCGAGCCGCAGCACAGCGCGCAGAGCTAGGCAGCCGTGAAAGCCCGTTTGGCGCTCGGCTCAAAACATGGCTAAGCTCTTCCTAGTTGCAACACCGCATGTTTGGTTCTTAGCGTTACGAGCGGCGCTCCAAACCTTATCGGCCACAGAAGCGCTGCAATACTCTGCATGCACACGTCATCAGAGTGAAGAATTAAGACAAAACAACAACGGTTTCAAGGCGTTGAAACATGGCAGCAACACGAGCTTGAACTGAGATGGGTGCTATATGACATATTCTTGGGTGAAGCAGGTGGTGCTCATAATTGTCATAGGTGCGCAAACCGTTGCAACGTTGACAGTGGACCGTCGCCTGTCCACGATGCATACTACTGTTGCTATGTTTGCATTGACGGCAAGTGTGTCTTCAGTCGCAGGAAGTTTCTTGGGCTGCCATCTGCAAGATTCTCCTGCGGCAGCCATGGCTGGTCGTGGGCGCGGGTCCATGCTCGGATGTGCATATTGGCATAGCATGTGCAGGAACTGCTTAGCATCACTGCAAGTTTGCTTACGACGGAGAAGGCCACGATGGACTCTTCAAATGTTCTGTTGGCTGAATTTCTGTCCAACCGCGCAGCAGACCGCTGCCTCACGTGCGTTGCTTGATGCCGGTGTGGTTCAAGTCCTAAGTCGAGGCTCCATACCATTTGCAAAATGCTTTCGGGTGTTTGGATCAGTTGCGAAGATGGCATGACGTTCACGGTGCACACGTTGGCATTTCGTAAGGCCGCGCAGCAAGGTATCAGTGCTGGTTGAACTTATGCAGTGGAAGGATTCTCTCGTCGTCGTGGCGATGTAAATTCCCTGCTCGCACCGCCATGCATTGGAGATGTCGTTTTCTGCTTTCACCCCTGCCTCTGGTCGCCTGCGCCTCAGCGCCATGAGCCAGCAGGGCAGCAATGTTCTTGCCATGCGTGGTGCAGAAGAACCAGATGTGCATGACGTTTGCAACAAGGATGGCTGTCTTACAGTGGGCTAGTTGTCATGACTCCGCTTCCGTCAAGCACTTGACGATGCTTCATTTTTTGGCTAAGGTTGCGACCAGCATCAGCAACACGGATCACTCGAAAGCCCTTGCAGATCGGCAATGGCAGGCTCTGGACTCGGTCGGTGCTTTTGAATGCCTTTCTGGAGCCACAGAGTACCTGGCTCCGGGGTTTGAATCGAATATCGGAGTGCAGACATGTGCGGAGTCTTCGGCTCCGAAGTGGTCGTTGGTCGCGTTGGGGATGGGGCTTCAAGGGTTTTGGTGCACTGGTGCAGGACGTCAGTGTTATGCCGACAGCCTTGACGGTGTCTTCAACCCGTTGGGTTTCAGCAAGTTTTCAAGCCTATGAGCAACTTTCAGTTCGTGTGGAGGAGTAGCAGTAGCTGCTGATGATAATAGGAAAGATGACGGGCACTATGAAGATGGCATCACCATCACCATCACCATCATCATCATCGTCATCGTCATCGTCATAACCATGGTCGTCCCTATCACGACTTGGAGTCCTCTTTTAGAAAGGGCAAATATTGCTGCTCAAGTGCAGGCCATGATGGATGTCCAGCGATGGCCGTCTCGGGCCATGGACATTCTGGGCTTTGGACGGGGCTTCGAAAAAGGCCTTTGGTTTCAGGCTTTGGGCTTCGGTCTCAAGGCCTGAGAGCGGAAGGGGCTTGCTCTTTCTTGGACTGGGAAGTATTCGCTTACTCGGTAAAGGCATCCTTCGAAGTTGCCTGCCGCTTTCTTTGCTTGGGAGGAGCCGGTCAGCCAGCTGCGAGCATCCTGGCGACGACACCGACGTCGGACTTCCCGACACCGCTCATGCGTCGCCCAGCCGCAGAAGAGCTTCTCCCGTTGCTGTAAATCCCGTCGGCTGGGTCCGTCATTTCGTCCCTTGCGTGCATGTCGCATCTCATTCCGGCCTGCCCGCGGCCCGTTCACTTCGTGATAGCTCTTTCCCAATCCGTAGGCTCGAGGCCTCCTTTGATCTCTTCTCTCCTGCCCAGGCCATGTGCCGTCGGGAGATGTTCCGAGCTTGATTTGGCTTGGGGAGCTCGCTGCCGTCTTGATCACCCTCGGCTTTGTGCTCGTGGCAGTGCACCTGAAGGCAGGGCAAGGATCGGCCGTTCCTTTGACAGTGGCCCTGAGAACGGTCTCCTTTGGGCTTTCTCAGAAGTTGCAGTAAGGGACATACCCAGAACGAACCGACGTGCCTGAAACGCTGCAAGTGTGAGTTGGCAAGGAGAGATCGTGTCAGGCTTCAGTCCTTTTGGGTGCAGGGCTCAACCCCCTAAACCCTGACCCGGAGAACCCAATACCCCTTAATTAAGGAATATGCCTTAAATCATAAAATTAAGGCCCCTATAATTTAAGGTCTATTCCGTAATTAAGGGGTATTGGGTTCTCTGGGGAACCCTCAACCTTCTACACCCATGAAATCCTAAACCCTAAACCCTAAACCCTAAACCCCCTAAACCCTCCCTCAACCGTCTACACCCATGAACCTTCGACCAGGTTTCCGAATATCTCGGCCAGCGTCGGAAGATGGCAGAAAAGGCGGAAAGACTGGCGCATCTCAGCTCACAACATATTCTTGTACTAGGAATCTTGTAAGGGTTCTGTTGGGGGATAGCGTAGGATTTCTGTGAGCGAGGCTTGGGGTATGGGGTTTGATGGGCCTTTTAAAATCGTAGACATATGAACACAAATAAAACTGTGCACAAGTCTGCAGTCGGTGCGTGCGACTTCCCCGCATGTCGTTGATGCGAAGGACTTCAGGCCTAAAGCCCGCGATCACTTGCAGATGACTTCGAGCCCGTCAACCTTGCCAAAGCATAGCTTGGTAGGTTTCTTAAAATCACCAAGACCCACCGACAACATCTTCAAACTCCCAAAGACCCCTGCATTCTGGGGCTTTGGACGTCTTTTGACTGAAGGTACCCCTGGAGCAGCCTGCCCATCTCGGATCTCCTCCAAGTGGGCCCGAGCTTTGCCACGAACTTCCAAAGCGGGCTCAGGCAGCCGGCGTTCTTCTGCATTGCTGCTTCTGGCATTGGTGCTCTTACTGTAGAAGTGCACTACGGTCAATTGACTGTGTGTTGTTGCTTGATTCTGTTGCTGCTGTTATTGGTAGACGAGCGCTGGTAGTGTGGTACGAGCTGCTCTGATCACCTTACTGCCGCCGTGGATGGTGCTGATCCGCGTGTCTTGCGGTAAACGGATGATTCAAGGCCTCTTGAGCTTGCCTGAAGCCACGGAACCCAAAGCTTCGGACAAAAGTTCACTCTCCGAGAGCTTGGCCAGAGCCGATGTTACTCAGGTAGCATTTCCTACTTGGAGGATCATGGGACTTAGTAAGTAATGTTATAAGTACCCTAATTGGGGTTATTATTATAGATACCTTATTTATAACCCTGTTTACTAAGTCCCATGATCCTCCAAGTATCGGGAAGCCTGAAGCCGCACGTACCTTGGAGCCTCCGGGGCCCCAACTACCCCAAACCACAGCCCTCTCCTAAGCCTTGCAGTGCGAGGCAAGCCTTCACCAACAGAGGGCTAAGCCCTGTGGAGCCGGATCAAGTGGCCTTGGCCTCCTTCCTCATCCCGGCCGAGGCTTTCCTGAGCGCTGCATGCCGCGACCGATTGTATGGCAGAGAGATCCCTCACATCACTGCACCTTGTTAGGCTCCTCCGTGAAGTAGACGTAGCCCGGAGTTCAGGGCGAGTAACCTAAGCAGGCTGGTCCGGAATCGAGGCAGCTTGTCGTGAAGGCTTCTTCGATGATCTGCGGAGGCTGCAGGGACCCGACAGCCCAGAGCCGTCCTCGAGCGCCACGGTGGCGTGCCTCCGGGCTCCCTTGGTGGCTGCCTCAGCAAAGACCGACCGGAAGACCTTGGTGTTGAACATGGGTGGTTCTCTTAGTTAGGACCCCATCTCTCCCATTTTGGGATCGTGCCGTACTAGTTTGGGGGCCTAAAGAGAGACCCTAATTCAGAGCTAACCACCCGCGTGCTGTGACATCTCGAAGGTGGTAAGCGGGCATTGGCGCTCCATCTCCAACGCTTGCCGCCGGACGAATGGGGGATGTATTTGTCTTGCGAAGAAGTTAGTTCCAGAATCCTCTGCCTCCCTCAAACCTTGAACCCGAAGTCCTGTGTCAAATCACTGCCGCCCTTTACCAAGGAAACGAGAGGCCCTGGCACCCATGACCTTCCTTAGCCCCGACGCGCGGGGCCTGGCCTGTATGCGTGAACATGCAAAATCGGTATGCAAAGTATACAAAGGGTGCAGATATGGAGGCATGCACATGTGCATTGTATGTACGTATGTATGTATGCAGGCGTGCATGCGCGTATTCGCACGCATGCTGCACGTATGTGTGTCTTCGAGCCTGGCCTACCCCACTTTGCAAACAGGCCCACGCCCTCAGAATGATCCCTACCCTACCCTACCCTACCTACCTGCCTTGAAATCCCCGACAGCATGGCGCTCAGGCCCTCCGCAAGTCGCTGGAACCCCGGGTGGCCCGGTTGCAGACGGCCTTGCACAGCAGCGGTGAAGCCTGTGGGTTTCATCCTCTTCATTCTACATGGGTAGTTGTCAAAATTATGGTCCCTTTTGGGGTACCCTAAATAATAGGTGCCGTATTATAACAAGGGCCCAAAAAGGGACCCTAATTTTGACAACCACCCACATCATGTGATGCTTGTGAGAAGCACGGGGGATCTGAGTCGTTACGTGCAGCATGTGGCCCATTCTGCTGAGAGGACGGCAAACGAAATCACAAGAACGACCCACAATGAAAGCGAAGTGGCATCCACAGAAGAATAAACATTATATAAGCCCCTTGGTAAATCTCACCGGTTCCCATACTTGACAGGTTCGCTTCGCGGGGATCGTGCAGGGTGTCGTCTCTGAGGCACCGGCAGTGGGCCGTTGTGGGTGGATGAGAGTGTAGACCCATGTGCCGAGATTAGAAAAACGCTTCCTTCCATGTTCGAGTACTTTGCTTTGCGCTTTGATTTGTTGGCCTTCACGTCGTTGCACAGTGTCATTTGTCGTTAACTCATAGCATGCACGCTTGCGAGGGTTGAGGCGAAAGGACGTGTTCCACTCTGTTCTGTCCCGGCAACGGTGAAACTCAAAACTTCTGCGGTGCACCTCCTGCCTCAGGCACGCGCAGATGGATTGTGGTTTCTGAAGCATTCTACCATGGATCGCAATGAAGGAGTGACGTGCTACAAAGGCCGCTTAAGCAGCACCACGTTCGGGTATAATTTCCACGGGTGCTGGTTCTTCGAAAAGTTCAAGGTTCAGGTCAAGTCGCAGTGGATGTGAAGTCACTGTGCCCTGTCGTTGCTATAGTTGGAGCTGTGCTGGCAGACTTGTAGTCTACGGCTATAGGTGGCGGGTTGGGTGGGACCAAAATGATGCAGACATCTCTTGTTCGTGATGTGGTGGGCATCTTTGTTGCTCCCAAAATACTGTCCTGGACCCAAGAGACCCCTTGCAAGCACTTTGTTTCCATTGTCTTTGGGGGGGATATATATATATATATATATATATCTGTGTGTGTGTGTGGGTGTGCCCGGGAGTCCTTGGGCTTGCACCCTAAGAAGATGCAGACTCCGAGAAGCTGAGGCGCCCGGGAGCTGCTGAAGGCCTGGGAGAAGATGAAGCGGAAGGAGCGCGGACGCTACGTGGCCCAGGCATTGCCGCAAGAGAAATGAAGGATGGGAGCTAGAAAGACAGAAGTCGGAATCGGGGTTCCCCAGCATTTCGTTGTTCGTAGTGGTGCATGCTCTTTGCTGTTGTTCCACTGCTTTGTAGATCTTTCTGTGTCTGTAACCTCACATGATGGGTGGAGGTAGTAGCATTAGTAGAACTTCAGATTGCGGCGACCGGCAAACACTCGAAAAGCCCTAGTCCTACCAAGCTAGACCCGACACGGCGGCTCCCAGCCTAGACTTGCAGTGGCCTGAGCACCTGAACGCCCCTGCGCGACCCATAGGCCCTCGACTCTGGTACCCGATGTAGGCAAACACGCACTCTGAAAGCTTCACGTACCTGCAACCGCTGTTGCCGACTCGCAGGCGGAGGTCCAGCGCCCCTTGCTGATGGAGGGCCGGAAGATGGTGGTCCGTGCTTACGTGCCCACAGGGGGGTTTTGAGGGTGCGTTGGTGCGTTCGCCACGACTTGGATCCTCGTGTCCATCAGGTTGTGCTGGAAATTTCGAACATTTCGAGATTCGATACGACCCATTCATCTCCAGAATCAGAACTCTTGCTCTTCGCCTTCAGCTTGAGAAAACCTGAAGCAACAACCTTCCTCGCTCTCTCCAGAGGTGATCACGCTGCCGGGCGGGCGCTGCTTCATGAACCGGGAGCTGCTTCTCAAAGGCGCCTTCCCCCCCCCCCCCGCCTTTTGGGGGACTCTTTGTTGGGGCCCAGCGGGGTGCTACTTGGAGGATCATGGGACTTAGTAACTAGGGTTATAAATAAGGTAACTATAATCATAACCCCACTTAGGGTACGTATAACCTTACTTACTAAGTTCCATGATCCTCCAAGTAGAGCAGACTGTCGGTCAGATTGCAACATGACAGAGCCAGTTGTGATCTACAGGCCTAGTACAGGTCGTGTGGTGGGGCAGAACAGTCAGAGGGTGAGGGTGTGACCAACCAGCCCCTGCCGAAGTGATTGGAATCCTTTATGGCCTGTATGTGCCACCGTAAGCTTTGGCACTAGAGTCACTAGAGTTTGACTTGACGTTCAGTTGTACAGGTCGGTGACTTGCCGTTGTACTAGATTTCCTTCCTTTTGCAGGGGACGGGGATGCAGCCTCTGTGCGGAACTATGCCGACCGCTCTGCTGGCAGGTCATCCGATGTCCTACGATCCAACCGATCCCGATCCACTTCGGCACGTCATCTCGTGCGTTAAGCCTCTCGGCACTAAATTTTGAGTATCCTTCAGCCTTAGGTCGAGTACTCCGGGTCCTGAGCCCGGGCAGGTCCCTGGCCTGCTTGCCTTACTTGTCTCTGTCACATGCAGCGAGGTACGATGGGGTGGTGTCGATGCGCGGCACTGGGTGGACACACTATGAGAAGGCCCGCCTGATGTCCTACCGGCATGCGGCGAACAGGCCCTATGCTCGTGCACCAGGTCTGGCCGAAGCTGGCGAAGATGATGACGACTGTGCTAAGCCACGTGGAGGGTGCAGGAAGCCTGGCCGCAAGCCGTCAGGTTCAGAGCCTAAGCTCAAGTTCTCTACGAAGGCCCTGCGTGGCTGACCACGAATCCTCCCAGCACTCAGGGAAGGTGCCCTTCGCGCTTCCGGACGACACGCTGCTGGACCTCTTCTGCCACCGCGTGGTGCAGAAATACCAGGACGGGGGGGAGCGGCGCTTTTCGCGTCTGCAACGAAGGCTCCCCAGAGAACCCAATACCCCTTTATTAAGGAATATACCTTAAATCATAATATTAAGGCCCCTATGATTTAAGGTCTATTCCTTAATTGAGGGGTATTGGGCTCTCTGGGTCTGTGCATCCGTCTTTATCCGGCCAGGATCTCCTCGACTGGATGCGCTGGGGGAGCAAAGCGGGAGCTCTTCTCTACAACTTCATGGGGGTCTGAGCCTCAGGCGATAGGAAAGGGCAGGATAGGCAAGGCATCGCGAAACAGAGAGGGAGCGAGAGAGATACCCTAAACCCTACACCCCTAAACCCTAAACCCTAAACCTTAAACCCTAAACCCTAAACCCCTGAACCCCTGAACCCTAAACCTTAAACCCTTAGAGCAGGGTGAGAGCTTCTGCCAAGGCCGACATCATCGTAGACGAGGACCGCCCTCTTTGTGTCCCCAGACGATCGGCTCGTGAAGGCCCAGGTGAAAGAGAAGGTAGATAGCATATTGTACTTTACTCTATTGTTATACTACAGTATAGTATGTCATATCAGATTATAGTACAGTTTTTTATAGTATAATACAAAGATATATGGGAAGTCCTCTAAATTGGGGTTCGTTTTTAGGTCCCCAGTATAGTACAGCACCCTTATAAAAAGGACGCTAAAAGGGACCCTAATTATAATTTAGAGAACTACCCATATAGTATCTATATTTAATATCTTACAGTTACAGTGTAGCCTATAGTTATATCATATTATACCCCCTAAACCCTAAACCCTAAACCCTAAACCCTAAACCCTAAACCCTAAACCCTACCTGCATCCCCTTTTTTTGAGGACCTGAGGCCCTGGCTCATCGAGCTGAACCCGGGCCCAGCCATGGGCTTCGACCAGCGGGCCGCTCCCTCGCATGGCTTAGGGCTCAGGGTTTATAGGGTTTATAGGGTTTATAGGGTTTATAGGGTTTATAGGGTTTATAGGGTTTATAGGGTTTATAGGTTTTTTTTGGTTTATAGGGTTTCGGTTTCGGGTTTAGGGTTCAGGGTTCAGGGTTTAGGTTTCAGGGTTTAGGGTTTATGGCACTCTTTCACCGGCCTAAGGGGGAACGGGGGGGGGATGGAATTTTGGAGTTCAGGGTTTCGGATACCATAATATGTAATATAATACAAGGTGAGATAATATACTCTAATAGAGTATCATATAGTTAGTTGAATATCAGGGGTGAATTTGGAGTTCAGGGTTTTGTAGGAGTCCGGTGCCACTGAATGGCCGGGCATTCTGGGGCTGTAAAGTAAGGACGAAATGTGGATCCGCATGCGCCGCCTCAAGCTTTTGATGTCGTTTTGGGAGGCCTTGCCGCAGGTTGTGGGCTTCCTGCACTGGGGGGCTAGTCACTCCTGGTTTGGGCTTGCCTGCCCTGCCCATTGTTCGGGATCCCTCTCTCTCCTCTTGGCGTTCTTCTGCTGCGGCTTTAGCCTTGGGGCCCTGGGGTCTGCGTTCTACCTTCGCCATCACCTTTTGGGCCCACTCCAGCCCCCTTCCTCGTGGACTTCTCCTTCACCTCCTGTGCCTGAATCCAACCGCCAGCCGCCACGGCCTCATCACCTCCGCTTGCGGGCTTATTCGGTGCATGGGCAGTGAGGAAACTGATTTGTCCACTGCTATTACCGAGGTTCAGCAAGCTCTCGAGAGGCTCCGGATCGCCTCGCTGCAATCCCCTCCTAGGGGTGCTGCTTCTTCTTCCCCTGAGTGGGAGGTGGTTGACACTGACCCTGCTGGTCAGTTGCCCGGTTCTAGTGCTAGCCCTAGCCCTCCTCCTTGTGGTTACCCTAGGGCCGCCCGGGTTCCAGCACTACCTGTCAGCCGCACGGACACCGAAAACTCTTTTGCCGAGTGTCCGCAATACTGCCTTGACCTGTGCATCCGCCTCTCTGCTGGCCCTCTCTCCTCGGAAGCCCGAGCCCAACGTGCTTGGCGTGCTGGGAAGTGGGCAGCGGAGGTGCTTGCGGGCCGCTGGGCCACCCCGCTCTCGTCGAGCCCTTTGGCTATCAAACCTGTGTGCTACGTGGTTCTTCGGAGCGGCCGATTGCAGCGGCCTGCCCGTTTCTCCTCCTTCACTGCACTTCGCCGAGCCATTGGCGAGATACACGGCAGCGACGCCGTCCTGCACTCCTTCGGCTCCCTTGCTGAGGCAAGGGTCTACTGCTACGGTGCCGGCGTGTCTCTCCCCGAGCCCTTTGCATAATGCAGCTTGCAGATCTCCGCCTGGAACGGGACGTGCCTGGGATCCCTTGCCTCCTCAAGTGGCCTCTGCCTTGCAATGGAACAGTCGACCTCCAGGTCTTGTGCCTTCCCCTCTTGCAGCGGCCTGGAGGCTTTATGGTGTGTGTGCCAGCCCTGCTGCACCTCTCCATCTCGGAGGATGCTCTCAACGACGAGCCTTACGACGCGATTGGCCCCTCTCGGCTGGAACTTCTGGATACCATCGACGAGGACGAGCTAGGGGAGGAGCACCCCTCGGGAGTGCGCTGCCAGGTCCTGCTGCTGGATCTCGACGAGAGCATGCTGGAGAGGATGGCTCCTTTCGACCCGGTCACCGATTTGACTGTGACCTCTTTTGTGGAAGGAGCCCCTCAGCTGGTCCCTCAGGGGGATCTCGCGATGTCTGCCGCCCGGGCCTGGCTGGAAGCCGGGGAGGACCTGGAACGACTGGCCTTCTACACGGCCCCAGAAGGCGAGCAGGACGAGCAGCAGCCAAAGCCCTCGCCCCCGAAAAGAACCGCAGCCCCGAAGAAGCGAGTCACTGTGGGACAGCTCGCAGAGCAGGTCTCGGCCCTGGCTGGCCTTCTTCCGGGCTTGGTGGATCAGGTCAGGACCGTGGTGGATCGACAGAATGCTTTGGAGAAAGCGAGCATGCCTGCAGCCTTGCCATCGATGGCCCCGGCTCCGTTGGCAGTCCCTCCTGCTGCCACGACTGTTGCGCCTGCAGCTCATCAGCTGCCCTTTCCCCAAGCGGGACCGCCTCAGCACCCAAAGAACCTGGGAGCCCTCGCAAAGGCCCTTCCCTCTCCTGCGAAGGTTCCTGCGACAGCCGAGTTAGGAGACGCTGGGTCTCTCACAGGTGCACCGCCCGGACCCTCAGCCTCTGGAAGCTCCTCTTTGGCGAAGGCCCTGAGTCAGCAAGGCGAGGCCCTGAACCTGCTTGTGGGGCACTTGGTAGCTCAAGGAGAGCACTTAGACTTGACGAGCTCCTCTTCGACCTTGGCCGGCAAGGGGACGGCCAAGAGAGAACGTCTTCAGCAGGAGCTTGCGAGCGGGAATTCCACCTTTTTCCTTCAGGTTGTGCAAGGAGCCCACCGACGGCTCTTCCCGGCGCTGGCCTGCCCGAGCTCGGTGGAGGACATCCAGGCTCAGGGCCGGCTCTCTCTGGTTACCTACCTGGAGCGGCAGGGAGGATATGCTCAGCAGAGAAGCTTGGGTATCTTCATGCTCCTCCTAGCCAACATCGCCGATGCCTTCCTAAGGGGAGACGACCACGCAGCTCGCGAGCATCTGGCCTTGGCCTTGAGTGCCACGGAGCAGGCTGCTGCGGACAATGGACGCTGGGACCTGGCTTTTTTGCTGACTCTGCTGGAGGACCCGGCCCCTACGATGTTTGGCCCGAAACCAGCTGCTGCGAACACACGCCTCCGCGCGTTTTCTCCTTTGGTCCCTCAGAGCCTGGCTTCTGTGACCCTGGCTTACGTGCGAGAGGTGGACCTCCTGTCACAAAGAAGGCGCGACGCAGTGCAGCCTGGCAGGGCCCAGCCCAAGGAGAGCGAGGAGACGGCCGAGACGGAGCAGCCGAAAGGTCGCCGCCCGCGCTACCCCAGGCCTCCGAAACAAGGATAGGATCGTCCCCGCTCCAGAAGAGCGCACGCGGTGCTTTTGATCTCCCGGGCCCCTGCCGAAGTGCCGGGCCTGGCGTTTCCAGAGATCTTGCTCGTGTTGCCCCTCAGCAGGCATCAAAGGCGAATTCACATGCAAGCTTTGCCGACCTTGCCCCTCGCGAGGCAGGTCAGCCCGGCGCCCCTTTGAAAGCCGACGCCCCAATCTCCTTTAGAGCTTGGGCCCTCCGTGCGCATTTGAAATTTATTAAGGCTCGCACGCCCTTCTCTTTCTTTCTTGCGAAGACCCTGCACCTTTGCCGGCGCGGTGTGAGTACCCCGGCTTCCGTTCTCCTCCCACTGCCCGTGCCGCACCCTGGTTGCTTTCGGCATTCCCCTTTTTTGGGATCCCGTCGCCGCGCCCGGCTTGCTGAGCATAGGCTGCTTCACGTTTTGGTGATGGCCCTGAACTACGTGTATCAGGATTGTTCCTTTGTGCCGCTTCACCTCCTGCAGCGGGAGCCCAACAGGTCGCAGCTTCGCTGCTTGACTTACTTGGGGTCTTTGGTTCGGACCTACGGTAGCGAGCAGGAGGGCGTAATACCTTCCACCGCAGGCCGTCGAATGAATGTTCTGCATGCCAGGCTTGCTGAGCTCTCGGAGAAGCTCACCTGCCTTGGACCGGTTGGGGACCCTTACTCCTGGATTCCGCCGGCCGATGCCTGGATCCCTCAAGATGCAAAGGTTGAGGCTCTACAGCCCTACGTGCCGGTCCGAGCCGACCTTTTGCAAATCAGTGGCACTGGCTCTTGGGACCCCGGGCCTTTTCTTTCGGATGAGCTGTGGCTTGCCTTCATGGAGCCTCGCTCCTTGCTGTTCGGGGGCTCTCCTCTGGAGGGCTCTTTCCCGGACTGCACACAGGAAGATCCTACGGAAACTTTGCGGGTCGCCCGCCTTTGGTCGGATCTGGGCTTACTCAGGTTGGAGCCCTATGACCCTCAGCTGCCGCCGGCAAAGTACACTCGCATCTTCTGTGCGAAGAAGGCCTCGGGAAAGCTCAGGCAAATAGGGGACCGAAGGGGTCCCAACGGCTACGAAAGCCGTTTGAAGGGGCCTTCGATGCAGCTCCCAACAGGCGAGGTCATGACTTCGCTGAGCCTCGACCCCTCTCGAGAGGGATTTTCGCTTTGCATAACGGACCGAAGGGACTTTTACCACCAGATGATGGTCAGCCCGCAAAAAGCCCGCACAAACAGGCTCCGGCCTGCCTTACCCGCCGAGAAAGTCAAGGACCTCCCTGCCTGGAAGAAGCTGCTTGCTGAGCTTTCCTCTAAGCCCGGGAGCCTGAGCCCCAGCATCGCCGAGAGAAACGAGCGCCGACACGCCAAGGCTCCGCCCTCCTTTGTGCAAGCTTGCTTCTCGTCGGTGCTGCAAGGCGATCACTTGGGCGTGGAGCACGCAACATGTGCCCACGCTGGGCTCCTTATGTCTCGGGGCCTTCTGGACTCCCACAGCCGCCTTCTTTCCCGAGCCCCGGTCACCGATGCCTTGTGCCACGACGGGCTGATCATAGATGACTATTTCACTGTGGCCCGGGTCCCTCGCTCCCAGCATTCCCGTCTCCAGCCTGAGACCCTTACCCCCGCCAAGGCCCGGCTGGACACTGCGCGGGAGCTCTACCAGGAGCTCTCACTGGCGGGCTCTCCCGAAAAGGACGTCGAAAATGCTTGCATCGCAACCATAGCTGGGGCCGAGATCGACTCCAGGCCGGCCACCCTCGATCGCCACCTCTGCCTTGTTGGCGCGCCGCGGGCCAAGCGCCTCTCCCTGTCAGATGTGACTTTGGACTTGTGCCAGCTCCCTGCCACAAGCGATGCTTTGCATGCCTGCCTCATGGGCTCCTGGACTTCGGCCTTCACCTTCCGGCGTCCCTGCTTCAGTGTATTCGATGCTGCCTTCTCCTTGGTCCCCCTGAGCCAGCTTGATGCCTCCTGCCCTCGAGTTGTCCCCCTGCCTCGCAAGGTCGCTGAGGAACTCCTTTTGGCAGCCGCTTTGGCCCCCGCTGCTTGTGCTGATATAGCTGCCCCCTTTTCCAGGGAGCTTTTTGCCACCGACGCCTCAGAGGAGAAGGGCGCGATCTGCTCCGCTACCTTGCCCGAGCACCTTCGCGCGAGCCTCTGGAGGACAGCCGATCGGAAAGGGGGTTATGCGCGCATCTCCTCTCCCAGCCAAGCCTTGCTCAAGCGGGCTGACCCACTCTGGGAAGACCTTCAAGAAGCCCCTCAGGAGCAAACCACCGTGCCCAGGCCCCTTGGTTACGTTTTTGATGTCCTTGTACTGGGCCGGGCGGGAAAAGGGTTCCTTCGCGAGATGCAGCATCGGGGTTGGGTCGCGGGCCCGCTCTTTGATCCTGAAGTTTCTCCCTTTTTCTCTCTGACTGTGCCTCGCGTCCTGGAGTGGATTTACTTCCTGATCGAAGAGGACAGGGTTCGCTGCATCCTCGTTGCTCCCCTAGTCGACCCTAGGCCTCTTCCCCTCACCACCGGCCCGGGATCTCCCCTTTCGGCCCCTGCTTTCCTGCCTCTCGGTGCAGGTCGAGCCTGGCTCCTTAGGTCCCTGGCAATCCTTTTCAAGAGCCGGTCCTCCGACGTTGCTGCCATCATTCAGGTCCCTGCCCAGGCTAGGTGCAACAGGTCCAGCCAGTGGTCGGGGATGCTAAGGTTACAAGGGGTTTCTGAGTGCACTGCTTCCTCTTGTGCTTTTGGCTCCCCTTTTCGGAGGGACTTCCGCTTCCTAGCGGTGGGTTGCTCTTTGTCGACTTTTGCTCGGCCTTGCCTTTGTGTGTCCAAACACAAACGAGTTCAAGGCCGCTACGGGGTCTCCGGCGTCCCTCCTTCAGCTGGCCTCTGCATTGCGCTGGGGGCTTGTGTTGATAAGGAGCTTAGAGCAAAAAGGGCCCGTCTTGAGATTGCGGACCTCAACATAGATGGCTTGGAGCGTGTTGCCACCGCCGACCTTGCCCTCTCCCTTGACTGGCGAGTCGATCAGTCTTGGAGCTGGAAGGGCCGAGTGCACATCAATATCCTCGAGGCCTCTACGGTCTCCCGGCTCTTCCTTCAGCTTGCCTTGAAAGGTGGCCCGCTTCGTTTCGCAAATCTTTGCGACTCTAATGTGGCAAGGTGCGCCGTTGTAAAGGGGCGCTCCCCGTCCAAAGGCCTCAGGCATGCTGCCAGGCGAGCGTCAGCACTCAGCCTCTCTGCTGGACTTTATCATGGTGGCCTGTTTTGCCCTACTCGTTGGATTCCTGCCGATGCTCCCTCGAGGGACAGACCTCTTCCTCCCCCCGTTTCGAATCTGGGGCCTGATTTTTGGTGTGATGAACGCCTGCGGGAGGATGCTACTCGACCCAGGCTCCGCAGATGGGCCTCGAACTGGCTCCGGCTTTGCTTTGTGCTGTGCCCTACTCTGGCCGACCTGAGGGTTGAGTTGCCGGACAGCCGCTGGAGCTCCGTCCCCTACCGGGCATTCACCGCCTCGATTGGATTTGATTCGACTTTGGGCTTCCCTGGCGAAGGTCCTGTTGTCTCTCCCCCGGCTTTCCTTCTCTTGCTGCTCCCCCTCTTTGGCCCCGGGACCCCTTCCTGTCTGCGGTTTCTTAGCTTTGGTTTGTTCTTTGCCTCGCTCCCTTGCGCTGCCATGGACGCCCGCGACATCAGGACAGCTGCTGCGAGACAACTTCAAAGAAGAGGCTTAAGACTGGAGAGGGGCCGGCCAACGTTGCCAGCTACGAAGAAGCGCAGGGAGAAGCTGAAGGACTCCTTTGCCTACTGGCTCTTAGAGGGAGGTCGGACCTGGGATGGTTTGCTGGCTTTGGCCCGAAAGGACATCGACCAGCTGAATGAAGTCCTTATTGAGTATGGACAGTGGCTTTTCCAGGAGGGCAAGCCTTACTACCACTATTCGGAGACCATCAACGCTTTCTCTCTGGAATGCCCGTCTATCCGGCGACAGCTGCAACCAGCTTGGGACTTGGCTTTTGCTTGGCAGCGACACGAGCCGCCCACGCACCACACAGCTCTGCCTTGGCAAATCCTTTTGGCCCTTTTGTCGGTCTGCTATATTTGGGGCTGGGACAGCGTTGCTGGTATTCTGGCTCTGTGCTGGGGTGGCCTGGCCAGAGTTGGCGAGGTGACCTCAGCCTTCAGGAGGGACCTCGTCCTCCCCGAAGATGTTGGTATGGACCAGGCTTTGGCAGCCCCCCAGGTCCTGCTTTCCGTCCTCGAGGCAAAGACTCGTTTCAAGGCTGCTCGACACCAGTGCTTGAAGGTCGACCAGCCTCAGCTTGTCGAGGTTATAACCCTCGCCTTCGGAAGACTCGCCCCAGGGGCCCGCCTTTGGCCCTTCTCTGGATCCACGTTGAGGCTTCGTTTCAAGAAGCTCCTGTCTGCTATCGGCTTGCCTGAAAATGCGGTCAAAGGTGTGCGGGATTTCGACCTTGCGAGTCTTCGAGCTGGAGGAGCCACCTGGCTCATGAGCACAACCGAGTCCCCAGACCTGGTCCGGCGCAGGGGACGCTGGATAACAAACAAGGTCATGGAAATCTATGTCCAGGAGGTCTCGGCAATGATGTACCTCCCTAGGCTGAAGCAGGAACAGCGGGAGGCCATTTTTGCCTGGACGAACACTTTTAGGGCAGCCTTTTCGTTTGCCCATTGGAGCCTCGAGCTCCGCCTTTCTCCGACTTCGAGGCACTCTTTGCTGCAGCACGGCGTTTACAATGCTTGATGTGGCGGGATTTTCTATGCTTTGGGAGATGGGTGGTAGGCTGCAGTACAGCTTTGCAGCTTCGCTGCCACTTGTGACCCCTCTAGCTGGTGCAGAAAAGGAGCCGCTGAGTCCTTGTAAAGTAAGGACGAAATGTGGATCCGCATGCGCCGCCTCAAGCTTTTCCCTCCTCACCTCTCCCTCGCCCGGCTGCAGTACAGCTTTGCAGCTTCGCTGCCACTTGTGACCCCTCTAGCTGGTGCAGAAAAGGAGCCGCTGAGTCCTTGATTAAGGGAGAGGGCCGGTCCTGAAATTGTCAGGATCCGCAGGCGACGCAGCTCCGCGCCGAAGTGATGGAGGACCCGTGGGGGGAGGTCACCAAAGCCGTTCAGGTTTGGGGCTCCGGAAGCTGAAGACTCAAACGGAGCTGCAAAAGAGTCCAGAGCTTGGAACTTTCTGTGTCATTCGACACTTGCATGCCCTTTCAGCTTTCTGCAGGATCTCTGCGAATTTCTACTGGACCCGCTGCTGCGCAGCGTGCAGGCGGCCGCGAAGAGCAAGGACGGGTGCAGAAGCTCAGGCCGTGCTTGCGGAGCAGCTCGTGCAAGAGAGTGAGGTAGTCTGCTTGCAGTAGTCGCTCTGTCCTATGCACTTCGTGCCCACCTCTACCCTGGCATGGGTTCGGGTTCTGGAGTGGATGTCCTTCCGAACAGGCTTCGCTAGTCAGCCTGTTCTGCTTGCCTGCTGCCTGGATGCCCAGCTAAGCCCCCAAATTTACACCATCCGAGCAGACTGAGCAGACTGTTCAGGAGGATCGTGCCAGGCCGGCCGCAGAGAGTCTTGTGGCTTGTTTCTGTCTCGGGAATGTGAGGAAAATCTTGATTCCTGTTGGCCCTTTCGGGCTTTCGGGTCCATGTTGTCCATGGCTTCTTGGTGTTTTGCGCTGATCAGCCCTCGTCAGGTGGAGCTCCGTCCGCCTCATGGCTGCAGGAAGGTTTGGGAAGGAGTCACTGCCATTGACGCAGCATGAGCCTGAGAACTCCCAAGGCAAGGTGCCCATGAAAACGTCCAAGTCGGAGCAGCGCGGGTTCGTCGAAATCTTCTGAGCGGCAGTGCCGCGACGCCAATCCGCTCATCCCGGAAAAGAAGGCAGAGAAGGCGCATCCAAATGCAACGCACAAGGTCACCAGACAAGGCGCCCAGTGATGAGTCCCCTGAACCCGAGTCACAAGGAACACGAAAGAGTCTGTTCCCCAAGAGCGGAAGGGACCCTCGCTGCGCGCGCTGCCGAGGCCGATCAAATGCATGGCCTGCCCGAACTTCGAGGCTCCGGACCGCGAGGCCAGCGTTTCCGAAGTCTCTCAAGCCTTTTGGGCAGTACGTCCATGGGGGGAAACAGACTACCTATAGTCTCCATTGTAGTTCCTTTTTGGGGTTCCCTTATAGGATCCTAAATATAAGATTGGTTTAACCAAAAAAAGGAACTACAATGGAGACTATAGGTACTCGTATGACGAGCTTGAGATTTTCTGGAAGGCCTACCGGGTACACTGCGCCACAGAGTGGCACAAGCACTCCCGTCACGTTTGTCTGCAGACCGCAGCGGCTTCAACAGTGGAGCTCTGGTCGTGCTCGTTGTTTGCTTCACAGAAGCTCCAGTGGTATAGGCTTCTGGGAGGCCTGGGCGGTTCAAGATCGGCTGGAGTAGAGAGCAGGGGCTTTTTCCAAGGCTCTTGAGCTCACTGGCCAGGTACAACACCACGCAGCGGATGATGGGAAGGTCGGATCGGGGGCCCAGAGCCCTTGCTCCCCGAACTCGGAGCCCTCCTGAAGCGAAGCCCCCCAAGCCGATGAGAGCAATTGTAGGTAAGGCCAGGGCCCGCACCTGAACCTTTCTGGGCTTCCGATGTTTCCTTGCAGGCCGACCCTGACGGAGCAGGAGTATAACGAGAAATGCCTGTGGCCCAGTGTGGTTTTGCATGACAGTGAGCTCTCTGTGGTGGGCTAAAGGCGTGGGGTTCAGAAGTTTAGGGGCTCCTGGGTCTGAGCCCCGCCAGTCTGGCCATCTTCATGGAATGGTTGCACCAGCTTACTAAGCCAAAGCCCCGACTTCATGTCGGTCCCCCAACAAAGCGCTGTCACAGTTGCGCCGGCTCCTGCGGCCGCGGAACCGCCGGTGCGCTGGCACAGCTTCTGCAGATTGCAGACATCGGATGTCGGATGTTGTTCGGTTCGGTGGGTGGATGAAGGAGCTCGAGAAGCTCAGTTGGATTCAGTCTGATGTGTCTTCGATGGAGAAAGAGCCTGGAGATTCTCGGAGGTTGTGAGTGTTCCGTTGCTTAGTATTCAGTGGCATTATCAGGGAAACACCAGGCCAACTAACAAGCTTCTCCCCAAGAGGGCACCAGTTTCGATTGGCAGCACCGCGGAGTCTTCCCGAAAAATGCCCAAGAGTTTACAATAATCGCAGCATTGACAATGTCCAAGCAACAATCAATCAAAATGTTCATGTCGAGTAGCTGAGCAGGTAAGCCCTGACATGTTTTGCATGTAAAGTCTTAACTCCACAGTGTCAAGCTTTTATTTTCCTTTCTCTAAACCCCACACCCTAAACCCTGAAATCCTAGACCTAAACCCTAAACCCTAAAGCCTAAACCCTAAACCCTGAAACCCTAGACCCTAAACCCGTTTTGCCACTGTTTGGATTCCCGAAGCAGGCCGAGGAAGCCTTGGCTCCTGAGCCTTCCCAGGCTCGGGCAGGGTGGGGGGCGGTGGGGAGCCGGGGCTTCGGTGAGGTTCGTTGAGTTTGGAGTGGTGCCCAGAGAACCCAATACCCCTTAATTAAGGAATATACCTTAAAATCATCATATAAAGGCCCATATACTTTAAGGTATGTTCCTTAACCAAGGGGTATTGGGTTCTCTGGGTGCATGAGGATGAGGGGCCCTGACACTCCAGATCTTGCAGTTTGTGGGCCTGCCGCCTTTGGCAAAGGGGTCCCGTAACCTGAGAAGTCTTCTACCCATATCATGAACATGGTAGATAGTCTATAAGTTTACAAGCTTGTAATCGCGTCTCTCTCCCACCTGCCAGGCCGACCAGGAGGAGGCCGAGAAGGTCTCCGTTTGTATAGCCGGCTCCCGAGCTCTTCTTTGATTTGGGCTTTTCGGATGGAGGGCTTGATTCTATACCTAAACCCTAAACCCAAAACCCTAAACCAGTCTCCTCCGGGTGCCTTCCTTGTGAGGTCTTCCACCACAAAGAGGAGAAATGGAGCCACATCTTCAAGATCCCCAAAGGAGGGGCGGGGTGTGGCCGAGCGCATGGGCAAAGGATAGGACCAGAGAAGGGGGCCCAGAGAAAGATGAGTTAAGACCGAAGAAGAGGGACAGCTTGTTGGTATTATAATATACAATATTATATTTTGTTAAGGTTAAAGTATACAGAAGTACATCTACATTATGATATAGTATGATATATTAAATTATATTATATCAAGCCTTATCAAGCTTTCAAGCTTCCTCTCCGTCTCCAGCGACTCTACCGGGCCATCTCTCTTCACACTAGTCTCGCCGTGGCGCTGGGAAATAGCTCTCAGAGCTGCAGGCGCCAGCGTCATGGACTTGAAGAAAGCCATGGCTGGCACCTCGTTGCCCCGTTTCCTGCAGGTTTTGCTTGGGGATCTGTGGAGGATTCGAGGGGTTTCAGGGTTTCTCAGGAGAGTTGGGAGGCTGACAAGCACACGTGACTCCGAAGAAGGTTGCCTCATCCTCTAAGGGGGTTTTAAAGTTTTGACATGCAAATCGTCAGCGCCCTTTACTCCTGAGGTGAAGCCGGACAGCCCGGAGGATGATGCCGAGGGCCCAGAGGATATGTTTCTGTCAACGTCCATACATTCTTCCGGGCCGTTGTGACTTTGGAACTGTCATGGTGTGTAGATTCCCTTTGCGGCCTTCTCATTTCTGAAGCTTTAGCCTCTGTTGGCTGCCCTCTCGGCCTTTGAGGTGCTATCATTCAGCTTGAAGAGAGGCTGGTCCATGAGCGACCGTGACAGGGTTTGGGCGGGGAGGCTAAGTCTAGAAATCTTAGTCACTGAAGGGATGCTGTCGTAGGAGCGGCCATGTGCCACGGACGAGATTCACCAACATTGAAGATGCATCCATCATAACTCTATTGCTTCGCTTTGGCCTCGAGCCGAATCATCATGCTGTGGAAATAGATGGTCTTCAGCATCGAACCGACAGCTCTGAGAGGAACACCAGTCTCAATCTCCCGGGCTCTCGGCTTTCCGCAACTTGCAGGCATGATCAGGCCGTCTCATTTCGAGACGCTTGAGAACGTCAGCGCCTCGGAAGTCTGGGTTTCGCCAGTTCACCACCCAGCAATTCGAGTGGAGCGACATGCGGATGTTGATGTCCGACTTACTTGCGAGCTGGCGAAGTGCAAGGGGACCAACGACCACATTGTGCGGAGAGAGGAACTGCCCCTGCCTGCATGACTGATTTCAAAGCGCCCCTTGGCCAAGGACGATACTTTTGACTTCGCCTACGTTGGCCCTGAGGAAAGAAGGGATTTGGGGATGAATCTTCAGGGGTTTCGGGTGTGCCGGGATTGTGTGGATCGTCGGCGTTGCCGTCAGGGATCTCGGGAAGGAGGAGAAGGAAAGGCAGTAGCCAAGAGGCACCTTGAGAAGTGCCAAGCATGCATGCTGTCTCAGAGTTTTCTACTGTCCAAGTTCTCGCCCAACTTTGAACCCAACCTCCGAACCCCAGAAACCGGTGGAAGCCTTCCAGCTGCCCATCATCCAGTGCGGTCTCCATCACACCAGATGTTTGCATCTTCGGCATAGTGCAAGTGGACCGAGTCCAGCGTGCGGCATGTTTGAAATGGAGATACACAGGATACCCGACAAAAGCCTGCTAGGCTGCGAGGCTTCGGGTATGTGCGGCATCCGTCTCCGTGGCCGTTCTGGCTTGGCAAAGCCTTCGATTGACGAGGTAGGGCCCCCTGACAAGCCTTGACAAAGTTCAAGGAGAGCATGGAAGATGCTGCTCGTGCGCCCTTCATGCTCGATGACTCCGAAGCTCCGCGAGGGAGACGGTTTCCGCGGCCTTCGCTGCGCCAGGTCGGGGCCCCCTAGGAAGCAGAAGAAAGGGGAGGACAAGTTCAGTACAATAGTCAACGGCTTCTCAGAAATCACGATTTGCCAGACCAACACGAAAAGCATATACTCATAGGTCATAAGCTATTCGAACTAGTACTCTTGTTGGCTGAAGGGGTTCACATTTCTTGCAAGAAAGCTACATCGCCGCATCTGGGAACAGAATAGCAGAAGACTACGTCACCGAGCACTTTCTACAGCACACACGCACAGAGATACAGCTTGTCTGTCATTTTCTTCTCGCTCCGTCTCTCTTTCTCTGTTTTCGTGTATACAGATTGCGTAAATAGCGAGCGTACAACAGTCTATGTTTAATCCTCGCAACAAGAAATGCCGCCTCAAAAACTGACTCCGCCAATTTTGGAGGGGAAGGGCGTGTTTTTTTGTGCCGGGCTCTAACACAGCCAAATTATAGTAGCGGCACTGGCAGGGCCCTCGAACAGTTTGACAGTGCTCCCATGCTTCAAATAACAATAACCTGCAGAAGATCCCGCCTTGACACGTTCATGCAGCATAAACATCGGCGATCGTCGACGATGACGACGACAACTCCCGTAAGAAACGGGGCACATGACACAGACATGCACGCTCCTCGAGCAACAGGGTAGTTTCAACTGCAGTTCGATGGCGATGAATGTCCTTCCACAGCCAAAGCCCCAGAGGTAGCTGCAAGCTATAATAATAATAGTAATTATACTAGTAGTAATAATAGTAGTAATTATAATAATAGTAATAATCCCAGAGGTAGCTGCAAGCTGCCTCCTGTTGGTGCTGGGCCTCCTGCTCGGTGCAGCGCTGGCTTCCCGCCCCACGCAGGGCCCCGGCCCCCCGCGCGCGGCAGGCAGGTGGCGAGTTCTGCGCTGTGGAGTTGAGGTTGTTGGTCGCTTCTTTGGCCTTGGGTGAAATGCTTCCGATGGAGAAAAGTAGAAGACTGGAGTTTGGTGGATCGTTCCCAGTTTCGCAGGACGACTTAGCAAGAAAGAGCTGTCAGTGAGATGCTGTGTCCCAGTTCTTCAGGTGTAGACCTAGTTCTGGCCTCATCTGAATCCCCCTTGCACCTGAAACAGAGGTGAGGCCTCGCCGCCATCGTCTCCTGCTACGACGCCCCCACCCGCCCCACCCGCCCCAGCCACACCACCAAACCCCTCCGCCGCGGCCGCTTCGCCGGTCTCGCCGGGCCTTGCGACCGTCGAGACGAGGGAGTGCCTTGGTCCCTGAATCTCCGCTGGTTTTGGGGGTTTGCGTCGCTGGCTCCAGTGATACAGTTGTCTTTGTTGGTCTCGATCTGCTTCCAGCGTATGTGCTCGTATGTAAGATCCGCAAGCCCTACGGAGAATGATGCCAGGTGCGCGGCAGCTGAGCTAAAAAGCTGAGTGATGCACAGTTTACAGATTGTGAAGTTGTGGCTCGTCACCACAAGTACAAGGCCCCGTCGTGCTTCGAAATCTGCTTGAGCGTGTTCTCTCCACTGGACTCAGCAGAGCTACCTCTTTCCATGTGGCGATGCATCGACATACCGTTGCACGCGACATTCCCATCGAAGTCCTGTGGTTGAACAGTAGGTAGACACCCCAACTCCCAAAACAGCTCGAAGTGCCACAAGAACGTCGGCTGCACCCTAGACGGTGTTCAGACCAAGGTCTGAGGCTCTGGCAGAGCTCCGCAGGAGCTTGGACAGGCCCACCGTCAGCAGTGGCTTCAGTGCAGAAGCGGCCGAATTGCTTCGCTTCTTCAGGGAAATGGTTCCAGAGTTAGGGACGGAGGCTGTGGAAGCCGGCCGTATGTCGTGAGGTTTATAGCGGGGCACCCGCACCTTCTATGCTGACCGCTTTCGCAGGCTCTCTGCCAAAATGAATGTTGAACAGCGGGCAGCGACGATTTCTGCTTCCGCCGAGACCTATGTGCATCTGTGTGTCAATGAGACGCGCCGGATTCCGCGACCGGGTGGTGTCATCTCCAGGTCATCCGGCAAGCACTCGCCCCCTCGGGGAAGTAGAGCTGCGTTTCGATACCCAGGTTTTTGTTGAACTTCAGTGAGCTTTTGCTTCAGCCAAGGCCTTGTGTACCGGAGGATTGTGACCAGGGCGATCTGGAAGCGGGCATGGACTGCCACTGGACTGGAGATACGGCTCATTGCCAACGGATGTGCAGAAGAGGATTGCGAGCATCATATGCAGATGCCAGCCAGAACCCGATCTCCTGCTCCGACGTTTTTACGGGTCGCGCTCGCGATCACATGGAGGTTGTTTCGACTTCCTTGGAGTGGACAGCTTCCTCCAGTCACTTTGCCATAGTGGACCTGTGGGGAGGTGGCGGTGGGGGTACGGGAACCGTGGTCAAGAACCAGCAAAGACGAGGCATCAACGTTGGAGCCGTTGGAAGAACAGGCATAATAGATCCGACTTCATGGCAGAGGTACTTCGACCCGAGCGGATTGTATTTTCCTGATGCAGACAGTGCTGGGAACGCACGGTTTGCCCGCTGGGACGACGTCTTTCACCTCAGCTACAAGCAAGACTGTCAATGCTGGAAGTTCGCCTTGAACGCTGAATATTTTACCAGCGCAATGGAGGCAAGGCTGACAGGAGCCGCTGATGAAGTTCCACTTGGAGATGGCACCTGGTCGTTTCTGATCCAGAACGGTGAGCAGAGTGGCCAGCTAAGCCTGAAATCGTTCGACACTTCCTACGGCATTTGCGGCGGCTCAGGTGGGGCTGGTGCCCATGTTCGTGCCCTGGTGGAGGTGAAGGGCGGCCATACCTACCGAATCGAAGCCGGTCGCGGTGGACGTGGCTCCAGCGGTCGCGGCGGTGCCGCAGATGGCCAGAGCAGCCGCATGTTGGAGAAGGGACGCTCAGGAGAGTGGCGAGTGCTGGCCGAAGCTGGCGGAGGCTCCGGTGCGGGATCCTTCGATGGCAGCCTCAATTTCTTCCCGGGTGGTCGGGGCGGCACAGCCCCCAAATTGCCTGCACGCATGTCTGCCGTTCCCGGACAGGCAGGAACACCCTCGAGATACAGCCTACTGTCTGACCACCCGATCTTGTCGCCCGAAAACTTAGGGCTGAAGGAGTGGTACTCATACTCACAATATTCGGGGCCGGAACGTCCCAAGAGGCTGTTTCCCAAAGGCATGTCTTTGACATGCAGCCAGCCGCAAGGGGGTCTTGGTACAAGGGACTATAGCAATGATGAGGTGTATACGTTACCACCACGGTGTCGTGCCACGAATGCGAGGTGTCCTGCGCGTGACAACTCGCAGCACCGTGATTACTTTCTTACCTGTAGTTCAGCCGGTTTTTCGATCAGGGGTGAGGCTTGTGTGGGCGCCCAGTGGCCGCAGTCTCCCCCTGCAGGGCAAGGAGCGACGGGCGTGGGGCTAGCGGCCAAGATGCGCAGTGGCTGGGGCGGGAATGGCGGCTGCCCCCAAATAAAGGCGGGCTCCAAGACAGAGCTGCAAGCAATGGCTGGCGGAGATGGACACAACGGCTCAGCAATACTGAGGCGATGCAAGAGGGAGGGAGCGTATACCTTGGCTCTGCAGCGCTGCCCAGGCAGCCATGGCTGGACCATCCACGGCCTGTGGCCGCGGGGAGTGCGAAACTGCGATAGGTCACTTGACTTCGACGTGTCAGCCTTGTCTGCTTTGCAGACACAGCTGTCGACCCAGTGGCCCTCTTGCTCGCGGCAAGTCAAAGATGCAGCCTTCTGGGAGCACGAGTGGCAAAAGCACGGCACCTGCTTCGGCAACAGCCTCGTCCATTATTTCGAGCTCACACTTAGGCTGCTGGGTCAGCATTCCCATGCCTGCGATGGGTTCACCTCAAAGGACTGCTGGCTCTGCCTCACGGAGAACTTCGAGTTGTGTGACCTGGACTCCTAAGGGCAGCACTCGCTTCTTCCGGCTGCAGCACCCATGCGGACCCTCCTCGACGAGGCAAAGCCATGGACGATCATGGACTTCAGCCGGACAGGTGCCAAATCACTGCGAGGGAAGAGATTCAAAAACCTCGGAAGTGCGCCTCAATCCCAAAGCATCCCCCTAAACCCTAAACCCTAAACCCTCAACCCTAAACCCTAAACCCTCAACCCTAAACCCAAAGCATCCCGAGTCCCTCCGTCCCTCGCCGTGCCTGAGTTCAGGAAGGAAAGTCCCTGCTGGAGCGGGCCCGGAGCCTCGGAGAGGGCCTCCAAAGCTCGGTTTTTGGGCGCTTTTTGGGGCTTCCAAGACCTCCTCCCAGAGAGCCCAATACCCCCTTAGTTAAGGAATAGACCTTAAATATCCTTAAATTATAGGGGCCGTAATATTATGATTTACGGTATATTCCTTAATTAAGGGGTATTGGGTTCTCTGGGTCCTTGTGTCTGAGTGCTACGATGCTACAAGGTATTTCTGCAGTGGTGCTTCTGTAGTTGCTATGAGTAACCGTTCTGTTGTCATGCGAACAGAGGCTCCTGATTTGTCTGTGCTGCGTAGTGCGAAATGTCGGGCTCACCCCCGAAGCCACGGCCAAAGGATGAGCGGCGACGTCGCGATGAGCAGGCAAGCTCGGATACGAGTGTGCTGGTGTCTTGCGGGCATCAGTTTTCCGTTCGAGGCTTTGTTCATGTAACTTGTTGGATTCGAAGGTAAGCAGCCTGTCAAAATCACTGACGGGCATCAGTGAGAGAAAGTCTGCGGCTCTGGCACCTGCCTGCCCCGGTCCGGGCAGGGACAGTCTTCTCGTGCTTGGTGCACTGCAAGAAGGGATCCACAGCAAACCAGTTGCAAAGATTCCAGCTGCTCATTTCCGCATGTACGATTGTATGTAGGAATAATTGTATGCAGGTATGTATGTAGGTGGGCAGGTCGGCAGACCCGAAATCTAAAGTCCCATGCATCCAATGACCAAGGGCAGCCACTTCTTGTGGTTAGAGCCTATGGAACCAACGACCTTCTCTGATGCAGTTTGACGACAGCGAAAATCTTTTCCGTGTCCTGAAAATCGGGGGTCTTGGTTGAAGCTGATTGTAACCCTATATCAACTCTTGTGCGAACCCTCATAGTAACCCGGACAGTAGCCCTTATAATAACCCTCGTAGAATCGAAACTCTTAGATGCAATTTGCAACTCGAGTGCCAGGCCTGAGATGCGTCTGAGGGCCCGTGCTGGATAATGTCAGCGATGCCACTTCGGCTCGGCTGTTTGCCAGGGGTGTCAGCGACGGATCAAGACAGGTCTATGCTGCCGAGGCTAGAGGCCCGCTGTTATGCCACTGAAACGAGGCGGCTTCAGAAACTGGAGTGTCCATGTGTGGAGGACGTGAGCTCACAAGCAGGCAGACATATTGCCACAGAAGTGGAGACACTATCATCATATAGGCATGAGTGTCGTGCACATGCTAGCAGTTGGCGCTTGAGAGTCTGTTATCATTTAATGCAAGCACCCCAGTTCTTGAATCCGTCTGCTATTTTCCCAATCCTCTTGTCCATGACAAGAGCTACCATGGCTTTCCGGTCAACAAGACTGCGGGAGGTCAACCAAAAACGAAGAGAGGGTCTGCACCCAGAGCGAAGTGGAGGATCGTAGAGGCTCCCGAGCCCAAGAACACCGCAACTCCAGGGCTCTGCCGTGCCGTTGGGCCCCCCGAAGCCTGGGCAATGCCCAGGATCAGCTGAAGCGGTGCCGCGGGGGCGCAAAAAAGACGAGGGCTTTGGGATGGCAGCTCCTCGCTCCCGCTGCCATGATAGGGAAGTCCGATTCCGAAGCGGTGGAGCAGGCAGGGTGTAGCCTTTGTTCTCGGTGAAGCCCGCAACTCTCAACGCAGCTTCTTTCAAGCCAGACAAAAAGCTTGGGCTTGTGGCAGCTTCTCGCTTCATCTTCGGTTCCATGGCCTAGATGCCTCCCGTAGATACCTTTCCGAGTCATCTTCACAGAGGCCTGGAAAACACACCTCTCACGAACCCCTCTTTCGGACCTCTCGGGCCCCCCCCTTCGTCAAGGAAGGGATACCGTAGAGAGTAGGAGCCAAGATGACCACTTTTGAGCGGCTCTTCGGGGCGGAGCCGGCCCGCAAAGGCGGGTGAGATGGTGTCCGGTTCGCAAACCGACTCTTCAATGATAGGACTACACGCGCTAGAAGGCTGCTTGGGATTTCGCCAGGGGCGCAGTCACCAAGCAGAGACCGACCTCCGTCGATTCTCCCGCTCTTTGGCGCTGAAATAGTGAGATGATTGATTGGAGTTCCAGACTTGAAAGGGTGTGTTGAGCTCCAAAGCCTCACGTAGCTGTCCTAGACTCGATCCTAAGCCCTAAACCCTATAAACCCTAGCCCTAAACCCTATGAATCCTAAACCCTATGAACCCTAAACCCTATAAACCCTAAACCCTATAAACCCTAAGCCCCAAACCCTAAGCCCTAGAATGCCCTAAAGAGCCCAGGATCGGCGAAACCTCGGTGAGGCGCCCAGCGCGCAAGAGCTGGCCACAGGCCGCGGCGGCCAAGGGCCGGGAGCCCGGTGTCATCTAGTCTGTGTCTCTTTGGTGGGAGATTGTTGCGGGGTGGTTGGAGAGGGTTTAGGGTTTTAGTTTGTCTTGGGGGTGTTGAGTTGAGTGTGGAAAGAGTTTTCGGTTTGGGGTCTTGGGCTTGCGGCTTTGGACTTCAGAGTGCAGGGCTGGCAGACTAAGGGCTTTCGACGGGATCGGCGGGGATTTCGGGGCTCCAGGGTTTAAGGCTTGATTCCGTGTTGCAGGGTTCAGGTCTTAGGTTTACGGTTCAGAAGCCTTGCATGTAGGGGAGGCGGGAGGCAGCTGTTGCCCTGCTCAGAAGAGTCTCAGAGGTCTGGACATTGGCCTTTCCAACGAGGACGCTGCCTTCCATACTGCAGCTATGGGAGCTAGGATTAGGGGGACCCTTGGGGATATAGACCCTCTCAATAAGGTCCCTTTTAAGAGAGCCAAAAGTAGGGTTCAGAAGGGGTGCCCTTTAAGGGGTACCCCTAATAATACTACCTAAGCTACTAGTAGCACTGTCATGGGTCCAAGCTGACGCCGGGTTCATGAGCCGGCATCGTAAGAGGGAGGTGAGTACACATGCCGGTTCCGATCCGCTGATGATTCTTTGCTGACCTGAGAGGCTGCGTGCTTCAGTGGCTCATCCTCCAAAACCCTAAACCCTAAACCCGAAACCCCAAACTGTGGCTATCTGGTCTTAATGATTTCTCGCGCAGGACTCCTCCGACAAGCTCCTGGGTCCTCGCAAGAAGAGGATCCAGGACCCGGCACGCCCAAGTCGTCTAGTCGTCTGAGCCGCGTCATACTCTACAAGAGTTGCTCATACTTTCAATATGGGGGTTTCCGAAAATAGGGGACCGTAATATAGCACCCTAAATAGTAGGATCCTTATTACAAGGATCCCAAAATAAGGTACCCCTTATTTTCGGAAACTCTCATATTTGCATGCGCCCTGGATCCTGAATTCCGAAACTCAGAATCCATAGATCTAGCGATGCTGGGGCGTCTGCCCGGGCCGGACTCCACAGGAGCCCGGCTTCAGCCCAAACGTGGGCGGCGCGCTGTCACCCCGGAGCCAGGTCGTCACACGTCTTTTTGCAAGGGGGGAGGGTTTTAGGGATCCTTAGGGAGCTTTAGGGAACCTAAGGGTTCCATAAGATAGGTTGCGACGGAAAAGAGGCGTCAACCAAAACAGCCTTAAAGTCTGAGTCTACACACAAAGCCCTCAACTTTAGACCCCTCCAACCCTGAAGCCAAAGTCAACTCGCTGGACCCACATGACTTTTCGAGCCTGCCTTACCAAGACTGGGGTAGGCCCACCTAGGGCTACTCCCGCAAAACGAGGCGCGCCTAGCCTTCCGAACCCTAAACCCTAAACCCTAAACCCTAAACCCTAAACCCTAAACCCTAAACCCTAAACCCTAAACCCTGAACCCTAAACCCTAAACCCCGTCGGGACTTGGGGCTCCTCTGAAGCCCTTTGGAGATTTGAAAACTCGCCAGGGCTGGTCAGGAAGCCCGAGAAGTCCAAGCCCAAGGACCGGAGCAGTATGTACACACACACACACGCACACATATATTGTTATTACTATTATAGTTGTTGTTGCATATTTATTTTTTCTCTGTCTCTCTCTCTCTCTCTTTCTCTTTCTCAATTTATTTCTCTTTCTCAATCTCTTTTTCTTTCTCAATCTCTTTCTCTTTCTGAATCTCTCTTTCTTTCTCTATCTGTCTCTCTCTCTCTCGCTCTCTCTCTCTCTCTCTTTCTCTCTTGTGCTCCAAATACATACAACATGTAACCCATACGTACCATGAATAGACCTATAACATATGTACCTGCAGGATCCTGCAGGGAAGCAGCGGCATTTTGCATTCTTCCATGCATGCATCTTGAAGGTTCTTACGGGTCAATGTTTTCATTCGAGAGTCTTGGAGATGTTCCAAACGTTTGTAAATGTTGCTCGCACTCTCCGTAAGAGAGTTTCGTCTCCTCTTGCTTGGTAGCACGATTCCATATACTTGCTTGCAAAGGCTCATGCCGCGATGCCACGGCGACAGTAGTGAGGGTGGGAGTTAGCACGTTGAGGCTACCGCCAAAGGACTGAAATAAACCCGGAGCCCGACGCCCAGCGTCTCGCTGCCTTCAAGGACTCCGTTTGGCGACCTCCCGGACACCCCAGAGAAGGACTGGAGCCCAGTTATGTGCACAGTAAGGTCTGCATCCCCGAGTAAGATCAAGGTGTGAACAGATGGAAGCACAACTAACAACTACTGCTGCCAGTGCTACCACTGCTGTAGTCATGTATGTCAAGGCCATGATCCTGACTATGATTCTGACTGCAACTGTGATGGTGAGTAAGGGTATGAGTATTACGACGAGTATCGGTACCGGACATGACGATGGCATGTAGAGTGCGAAGAGGCAATATAGGGTATTGCAGGCCTAAGCAGAGTACCGTGTATGGATGTATCGATGATATCGATGCGCCTGTCACCATGGGTGACATGAAGGCATCAGTGTCGGATGGTTTGCTCTGTGCAAATGCTCAGCATGTCGAAGCGAAGGAGTGGCGGCCGCTGCGCAGAAGGCAAGCGCCCCCGCTGCCACCCGGGTCTTCTCAGAGCTTGCGTGGGTTTCGGATACGGTCCAGGGTCGGGCTCTGGCCTACTTACACTCTTCTGGGCTTCATGCCTGGAGTCTTGAGATTCTGCCGCCCACATAACTCTGAGACTTGGGGCATTTCAGACATGCAGGCGTCCCTCCAACGAGAACGCCACCGCGGACTGCCCGGTGTTGTGAAAGACGTGTCAAGATGGCAGCAGGCAAACCTATTTAGCCTGAAGAGGCATGCTTGGTTCGAGGCAGTGTTCTCATGTGCCGTCTGATCCGATGCATCTAAGCACGAATGAAATCTTGCGAGTTACATGTGAAGTCGCGGCGCAAGGACCCGATGCGTCACATGGAAAGCTCTTATTATGTCTGCTCCGGTTTGGGAAACTCGACACCTTTCTGGCTAGTGCCGCAGCTTCTCCGCCTTTTCAACACTCCAAGCCCTGAGCCTGACATCCTGCACCCAAAACTCAAAACCCCAAAAACCTGAAGTCTAAATCCTACCGAAAACCGTAAACCCGATACCACGCCATCCCCTGAACCCCTTCCCCGATCTTCGCAGTGTCCGAGGTCTCCTTGCCCCCTTGGGTTCTGCCAGGCGGGATCTGAACTTTGCTGTGTCTAACAGGGCCTCAGTCAGAGAGGGATGTGTTGTGAGGGAGTGATGTCGGAGCAGAGTCCGCGCAGACGGGTGAGAGCTCTTTGAGGTAGGACGGCCAAGGAGCTGTAAGCTCCAGACTGCGAGCTCATCGACCACAGGCCCTCCCTTTCACTCTGAACCCCTTGCCCAGGGAATGTCGTGTCTCCGCGCTCTGCCTCGCCCCGTTCGCCCCGCTCTCCTCGGCTATCCTCCCCCGCATCACCGGCCTCACTGTGGGTGCCGGAGAAGGATCGGCGGGCCCCTGGACTCGAACTAAAAAGCTTCAGGTTCAGTTTTAGTGTTTGTCAGGGTTGGAGAGTTAGTCTTGTGCATGGTTCTAATCTCAGCTGTCAGGTCTCAGGTACAGCTGGCGTGCTTCCATAAGTTTCGAGGCGAAACTAGAATGATCACGTGCGGGGGCAGGCAGGCTCTGCAGTATCGACTCACCCTCACATCACTGCCGAGGTCACGACTTGGAATACTGGCTATGACGTCGACACCTACAGGCTACCCGGGCACATGAGAGCCCCAGACAGAACTCGGGTGTGGTGTCGCCATCAGCTCTTTTGGAAAACCTGCTCTCTTCTGCCGTGATGTGACAGGTACATCAAGGTCTTCCCCGACTCCATCCAATACAAGTCCCTGGCCTCAGCTTCTGCCAGCACTTGAGAGTCTGACAGTGTCGATCGTTGTGACCATATCCTTGCTTGCCTGTGCTGCAGGCAACATCGACGTAGTCGTGTTATACTTAGAATCTTAGAACTGGGCGGGACACGACATCAAATCAACGTTAAGTACATCCTGTTCCTCGGCCCAAAACCCTGAGCTCTTTGCAGCTGACTTCATGACTACCTCAACACATAGCAGGAGCTGTTTGGCACTGCAGCCGACACGCAGCCCTTCACCCAGCGATGTGGAGAAGGCGACAGGGATGAACCAAGTCTTTCCCGGCTGCTTGCAAGTTGTTCAGGCTTGTGGTGAATGAATATGTTTGATCCAATTGTCACGGTTTTGCCATTGCGAATCTTGCGTTTCTTCTTGCTACGAGCACCATTGATGTTGCCGTTGTTGCTGGTGTCACGATTATTGTTGTTGATTGCTGCTGCAGTATTGTCGTCAACGTTGACCTTTTATGATGATTATGGATACTCCTCACGCTATTTTTGGTCATCGCTCCATGGCACATACTTTTGGGGTTGTCATGGAAGTCTATCGCGCTTGCTCATGCTGTGTGTAAGGAGTCGTTATCCTTGCTCTTGCGTATTACTGCGGTACTGTACGATGACGATGACGTACTGCGACTAGTCGGGTACGCTGATGTTGATTTTGGTGTCGTGCAGGACCTGAAGTCCCCACAGCTTCCAGGCAAAAGGAGATCGAACTCCAGCTTCCGGGATTCCTGAGCCTGGCCCCATGCCATTGACCCCAAAACCCCAGTGAGGCGGCTTTCGTGCTCAAAGAGCCAGGAATCAAATTCAGGCCAAGCTCCACCCTTCAACGCCCTCAAAGGAACGACTCGACACCCGATCCTCTTTTCATTCCAGGCCGAGCACGACGGCATCTGGGGGCCCGACGGCCTCTTGAGGGCTTCGGGCCCAGGGAAAGCTCCGGAAGACCCCGATAGTCAGGATAGGGTTTTGGGGCCCATTATACTTATAAATATAATAAGGTAACCCTAAAATACTTTTCGTTGGTTTTGCAAGGCTCTCGGCTGGACCGTGCAGGGTCTGGGCTTCAAGGGCCCGCAGTTGGAGGTTGAAGATGTAGAGCTCGAGGGTCATGGCCGGTTGCGCCTCCACGATCCTCCAAGGGCGCCTGCCGCCGACGCATCTCGCCAAATGCCAGGCTCTCCCACTCCTGCTTTCGGCATTCCACAATCCCGACGGCGCAAGATCGAGCAAAAGAAAACCTTCCAGGACATATCTACCATTTAGCGAAACCGTTCGCATGAGCATCTGGCACTTTGAAGTTTGCATGCCCTGACAGGGGAACGATGAGCTCCATTGTCCGGGCCCCGGCATGGCAGACTGGGTGTTGAATGCCTGGAGCAATAGCTATCAACTATCTATACTATTTTAGGGTTACCTTATTATAAATATAAGTATAATGGGCCCCAAAACCCTATTCTAACTATCAACTATCAATAATAGTTGGCACTTAACTTATGATGACAACAGCAAGAAGTGAGCCATCGTGGCAGCCAGCAGGGGAGGACGGAGGAGGTGATGGTCGTGAGTGGTAAATCGAGGCCTTCACACCCCCACCATCGCCAGCAACGGATGTGGGAAGTCCGACGATGTCGCCGACGGCCCGGTACTGAGATCTCTGAGGGTAGAGTTTAGTGTAGCCTTATAGATTCGATTCCAGAAGCTTTGGGTTGAGGTTTAGGGTTGAGGATTTAGACTCTTTCGCACGTCCGCGGGCCGGCGGTAGTGGTGCCCTCTCTGCTTTCGTCGTGTGCGCGTGGACAGGTGGCTGCAGACAAGTTGCAGGGCCTGCAGCTGCGGGCTCAGACTGCAGTAGAAGTACCATTGCCAGCAGCAGCACCACCACTACCGCCACCACCAGCAGCCTCACCAGCACAGCCACCAACAGCTAGACCACGACGACGGCTATTACGGTGTTTACTGTCTTGTGAACATTTTCTACAGATATGTGCCCTGTAAGCCTGTGAATGTCCCGAGCCTGACAAACTACGGCATCTCTGCGTCAGCTCAGGACGCTGGGAGGCTACCAGGGCCCATTTCCAGTCCTTGGGGGAGTTCCTCGCAAGCGGATGCACCTCGACGCATGACCTGTGGCTCTCTGAAGATCTGTGGTGAAAAGGAGGGGTTCTGCCCTGTTCGTCAGAACATGTCATCAGGTATGCCGCTGCATGACAGGCAGTAGCGAATTTCTGGAAGTATGCACCCGAGGCAGCGAGCACCTGAGAGTCCTTCCAATGCGGCCGAGGCTCGACCTAGGGTTGACGGATCTTCAGTGTTTCAAGTCTCTGTTTGCGGCATGGATTTTACAGAAGGAGTGCATGGGGGCCTGGTAATTTTGAACCTCTCTCCCACAGGTCCCATTTTTCCGTAAGCCTCCGACTCCCAACCCTAAAGTAAACCCTAAGCCACCCGTAAACCCTGAACCCTAAACCCCCAAACCCCAAATTGGCCAAGGAAGCCACCCCTGACACGGCTGGGATGAGATCTCCACGTACCTTGCCCGCCAGGAGGTTTGAAGGGTGGCTTTATCGGGACTCGCCGGATTTGAGTTTGGGCATTTGCGTTTGGGCCCGTTTGGGACTTGGTGCTGGTCTCAGGTTTCAGGGTCGAGGATGTAGGAGTTGAATTCACATGTTGGGCTTTGGGGTTGAGCTCTCCGGTTCGGGTATGAAAGGACGAGGCTTCCGGTTGAGCATGCGGGGCTGAATTAGGCAAAACCTCCTACCTGACCACAACAAAGCAAGGAGCCCCAATTTCAAAGCTGAAGAAGCACAAACGACAGCCGACCCAGCCCCGAAAACCAAAGTCCTAAACAGCACGCCCAAACCCCAGCACTTTTTCGAAGACCGCCCCAGGTTTCTCTTGGTCTTCCGGCATGGTGACCGCCGGATCAGGGAGTTGGTCAGTGGTTGTGGGTCTCGGGCTGCTTGTGGGGAGGTTTCGGGGCAGTCTTGTGTCAGAGGCGCCAAGGTTTTAGCAAAATCCGCGGGATGAGGCCGATAGGAGAGAAGCTTGAACATGTATGTCTCTTTCCAATTAGTTTAGGAAGCTGAAGCTCAGCATCCAGACGCGACTACATCAAGACAGGCCGCGGCCAAAGCCAGCAAGTCTACCCTAAACCCTAAACCCTAAAGGCCCTAAACCCTAAACCCTAAACCCTAAATCCAAAGCCCAAGCTGCAACCAGCGTGCCCAGCCTGAACCCCCCGCCACTGTCTAAGCCTAATGTAGGAACCTGATTAAGAAACCCTGGCCCTATACCCCCAATATTTTAGGGCTCATGTTAAGAACCCGAATAAATGCCCAGGGTTTCTTAATCAGGTTCCTATATTGCACTTATTACACCCTGTCTTCTTCGTCCGTCCAAATCCTTTGGGGGGTTAAGGGCTGAGGGAATGGACGATAGAGTTGCAACAAGTGCCTCTGGGACTAGAATGCAGGGACAGCAGGATTTTGGTGGCAAGCAGACATTACCACGTGCTTGAGTACAAATTTCGGGTATCAGATCTTCTCGTGATTTCGTTCCCAATCTTCGCTTCGGTGTCGTCAAATAGCAGACGGTTCCTGGAGGCCTACGGGTTGCACAAACTGCCGCATACGCTGCATCGATCGTGCGTCACGTGCCTACGGATGTTGCAGCCTGGAGGTTTCTTTCCGAGGTCCGAGAGGCTTGCCAGGGATAGGGCCGCGAATGCTTGTCTGGTAGGTACCAGAACGCCAGACTGTGCAGCCACCGGTGCCGTGACTTCATAGGGGCTGGATCTTGCAATTGGAGGCTTTTGCGCACAGATTATTTCCATCGCCAGCGTTTTTGTTTTGCGGCGACGGCCACTGTAGAATTTCTGTTTGTGTTAGTATTTCAGAGCAGTGTTATCGGTGCAGTTGTTACTCCAGTATCATTCGTATGTTGCACACATGTTTTCGAAGCAATCATCGTAATTTTTCCACAATCTGTTCACGAACAGTAATCGTCCACTATCAAAGATAACTCTGATAACTGCTGATTGTACAAATGCCGCATTTCATTGCGTTGTGCCAAGTTTTTATTCATCATTCTTCTCATCAGTAACGTCATTGTTGTTATGTCTGTTGCTAATACTGATAGTCTTGTTCCTATTGTTGTTGCTGCTGTTGTTGTTGTTGTTGCCGTCGTGGTCATGGTCGTCGTCCTCGTCGCCGTGGTCGTCGTCTGGGTCGTGGTCGTGCTCGCGGTCGTGGTCGTGGTGGTGGTTGCGGTGGCTTTGGCTGTTGTTCAGATCAGTACGACAATCACTTCCTTTTGTTCGGGTTATTCATATTCGTGTTTTGTGATGTACAAATGGGCATCATTGTCATCAGTATGATGAAACATTGTGATGTTCATATGCACGAACATTCCTGTCATTCTGCTGTTGTGGTGTGTACTTGTGTCAGTAGCTCCCTCCACTGCCTCGTGTGCACACAGAGGAATTACGGCTGCTATCATTCCTGCAGTTTGCACCTCTGTTCTGTCTGTTGCTGAGGGTCTTATACATCATTGAATAGCAGCCTCCGACAGCCCTTTTCTCCAGGCGACTGCCGATGACCTGCCCCGGCGCATGGCTGTGGACGCTGTGTCTCCACGCAGTGATGCCGGCACTTTTGGACCTCCACAGCCAATGCAGCACTGTGAAGAAGCTATAGGAACAGAAAGCTTACAACATGCTGAATCTCCCGATCTACATGGCTTCGCCTTTGCGACATCTCCATGTCATGTCAACGAGGAACATACCGACAGACGATCTCGCATGCGCAGCATGCATGCACGCATAGACACACACTCCTCACACACGTATATGTTACACATGTGTTCATATACGGCAGCATGCGTGCAGACTGAGAAACAAATATGTATAAGCATTGATACATATGCGTATGTCTTTCTGTATCTATATATATATATAAAGGAAAGGAAGAAAGACATATATATATATATGTATGTGTGTAGAGATTTCCATACTGTTGCATGTACATGGAGATACAACACAGACATGAAGAATGAATACCCTAAAAAAATGAGGCACACAAAAACAAGTTGAAAGGTTGAGATAAATGTTCTCACTTCGTTTTGTAAGTTATATGTGTTTTCTGAGCACATACACACACTTATACACGTACATGCAGACATACACAAACATGTACAGATGCGCATACACATATTCAAGCATCCACAAATACACTTTTTCATGCCAACACCA